ATAAGGAATTGTACTCCTTAGTGCGGGCCCTACAAACATGGCAAAATTACTTACGTCCTCGTGAGTTTGTTGTGTACACTGATCATGAATCCCTCTAGCATATCAAATACCAAAGTAAGTTGAGTACGAGACACATCCGATGGATCTCCTTCATTGACACCTTCCCCTATGGTGTTAAATACAAAAAGGGTAAGAAAAACATTGTTGCGGATGCATTGTCACGCAGGTATGCACTTGTTACCACACTTGAGTCTAAGCTATTAGGTTTTTCATATTTGAAAGAATTATATGCAACTTACCCTGATTTCTCCGATATATTTGCTAAATGCGAGAAAATAAATTGTGCGTTCCTAAATGCTCCTTGAGAGAATTGTTGATTTGGGAAAGTCATTCGGGGGGTTTGATGGGACACTTTAGTAGGAACAAGACACTTAACTTGCTGCAAGAATATTTTTTTTGGCCACAAATGAAAGCCGAAGTTGAAGCCGCAATTCGTCAGTATACGACGTGCCTCTCGTCGAAGTCTACTGTTCATCCACACGGTTTGTATACTCCGCTACCTATTCCTGAATCCCTTTGGGTTGATATTTCGATGGATTTCATATTAGATTTGCCTAGGAGTAGGTCTGGTAAAGATTCAATATTTGTTGTGGTTTATCGATTTTCAAAAATGGCACATTTTATTCCATGCACAAAAACCACTGATGCTTCGCATGTTGCTTCATTATTTTTCAAAGAGGTTATTAGATTGCATAGTGTTCCAAGATCCATTGTTTCTGATAGGGATTCTCGATTTTTAAGTTATTTTTTTAAAACACTTTAGGCTAAATTAGGTACAAAATTAATGTTTTCCACAATACACCACCCACAAACTGATGGTCAAACAGAAGTAGTTAATCAAACTGTGGGGTAGCTTGTTACGTGCCTTAGTTAATGAGAATTTGAAGAGTTGGAAAGAATGTTTAGCTCATGCTGAATTTGCATATAACCGTACGATTCATAGCTCTACGAATTGTTCTCCATTTGAGGCTGTTTACGGTTTTAACCCATTAACTCCTCTTGATCTTATGTCATTGCCACGCAATGAGCACGTTAGTTTTGATAGCAGAAAAATGGCTGAATTTGTCCAACAACTTCATTCTCAAGTTCGGGATAACCTACGAAAGGCAGCTGACAATTATGCAAAACAAGCTAACCGTGGGCGCAAGAAAGTTGTATTTGAGATAGGAGATTAGGTTTGGCTACACTTAAGGAAGGAAAGATTTCCAGAATTGAGAAAGTCAAAACTTACTCCCCGTGGCGATGGGCCTTTTCGAGTGTTGGAACGCATTAATTATAATGCCTACAAACTTGAACTCCCAGGTGAGTACCAAGTTCATGTTACTTTTAATGTTTCTGACTTAAGCCTTTTTGATGCAGCGGATGAATATCTTGTTCGGGAGAACAAGAAAGCTTTTCAAGATTGAGGGAATGACGAGGACGTCCAATCTTCAAGCATTCAAATGCCTGTGGAACCCATCACTCGAAGCCGAGCTCGTCAGTTTCAAAAATCCGTCACTGCATTGATCAGACGATTTTTCATGGAGAATCAATTTAAGGATGATGCTTGGAGACCACTTAGCCCTCACCTGAAGCTCCTTCAATGGGACCCGCAAGAATCCCAATTGAAAGATCAAGAGAATCACTAATCATAGAAGTATATCAAGGAAATCCTCACTTACAGAGAGAATCACTAATCATGGAAGTATATCAAGGGAATCATCACTTATGAAGAGAATCACTAATCATGGAAGTATATCAAGGGAATCATCACTTACGGAGAGAATCGCTAATCATGGAAGATTATCAAGGAAATCATCAATTATTATGGAGGCTTCTAGAAGTACCTTAATATATATTTCCTTTTATTATAAGTTTCTATATAGTATAATTCTATATCTAAAACTTCCCTAATTATTTATTTCCTTATAGTTAGACTTACCTTTTGGTTTGTTTCCTTTATTATTTGTTGCCTTTTATTTTCCTCAAGGACCTCTATATAAGGTCCTTGCCTATCATTGTAATGGGAACCTTTTTTACATCTTGAATTGAATTTCACTTTTATAATTTTCTAGTGTTAGGGAGTGATTTCCTCGCATTTAGAACTCAAATCGAGTCTTTGGAGTGATTCCATCGGTTCATGGCTTCCAATCCTTTGCAGTGGGATTTAGCCTATTGTTTGTGTTTTACCTATAGATTGATTTCAGGTCCGAGACTTATTCTCGTAGTTGGTTATCATTCATACTAAGTCACATTCTCTGCAAAATCTTTTCTTTTTCCTTCTCTTTTTTTTTATACATATTCTTAATCCATTTGTTCTATTGAACTTTGTGGGTAAAAAAATTATGTTGGTTATAATTATACGCAGCTGGGCCGTGTCAAGCTTTACTTGTGTATTGATGTTTTTGAGATATGGGGAGGTTTTTGAAAATTATGGAAAGAAAAATTTAAGGAGAAATTCATATGTGCTGGAAAGAATTGATGTGCAGGAAAATGTTTTTTTGAATCTATTCTGTGCAACCGAGGTATACTAGTGGTTATCCAAATTGCTGATGAATATGCTTCCATGGAATCAGAGGATTTCAATGCCACCCTTGATGGAGAATGAGAAATTGCTGCCTCTGCTACTAATCCAGAACCATCATGTGTTGTTGCTGATCTGTGAGAACCCAGTCCTGCAGTGCAGTTCAGTGATGAACCGGATGACGATGTCATATTATCTGTCTTAAAGGATTGAAAACAAAAAATGAGGCATTGATCCAATTCCTAAAATTGCGTCGTTTGACCTTGGTATGGACGACATTGAGGATTTGAAAGTGATGTCAAGGCTATTAAAGCCTCAATAACTGATCGTGCATAAACTCAACCTCTTTGGCCGATGTCTCCCAAGGGGGAGAATGAGGAAGGAGCTGAAGCTTCATGACATGCTATCTAAGAGGAGAAGCTGATGTCAAGGGGGAGACCATGAGAAAAGAGCCATCATGTGGAAAAACATTTCGGGTTTGTTTGTTGTTAGTCCCTGCGGATCCACTAGAATCTTTTTCCTCTCGATGTGGTATACATCAACCAAAAAGGGGGAGATTGTTGGTATGAAATTTTGTTTGATGTATCGGAGATCCGCAAAATATTCAGACAACCAACTCGTGCATGTGTGGCTGCTAAAATTGTCCACGTTGGCTGCTGATGTAGAATGTTTTTCCACGTATTTTCTGAGTTGGAAAAAGTTTTTTTAAGAGATAAAACGACAATTGAATCCTGTTTGTTTCTTGACAAAAGGCACAAGGAAAAATGTGCAAGCATTGATTTGGAAAGTTAAAAAAAAAGGTGAAGAAAGAGGAAGGGACACTCTACCCCTTTTGGATCCGCAGACATATCAGACAACCAAGCTGATGCCTCCATGTCTTCAAATCTGCTCTTGATGCTCGGTTCAAGGTCTGATATATTGGTCTTTGAAAAGCTCTAACATTAGATAAATTGTTAATCTCAATGCTTGACTGTAATCAAAGACAAAATATCCTATCCCTCGTGCTTGCATCAAAGTGGAAAGTCAAAAAGAGATGAAAAAAAATGAAGGGAGACTCAGTCCGTAGTGGATCAGTAGAAAAATCAGACAACCAATCAGCTATCTGCAAGACTGCAACATGCTCGAGTTCATGGTTCAAGGTCTGATATTCTGGTCATTGAAAAAGCTTCAAAGTGAGACAAAATATATATATCTTACTATCCTACTTCATATAAAGACAAAAGGGCTTTGTTCTACGAAATTGCATGCAAAAGAAAGGTCAAAAATAAAACAAGAAAAAGGTTTCCAACACCCATTACCAAAAGAGGTAATATTTGACTATCTCCTCCTTCTAGGCATTTATGTGGAGTTTGACATATCAATTTCGTCCTATATGCATAGATATGTGTCATAAGATGTGTCTTGGCATTGAGTCCATTTGTTGTCGAATGTTGAATGGAAGAAGTGCGTTTGTGTATGTATATATATACACTACCTATGGAATTGTGAAAAGGGGCTTTCATAATTTTCTAAGAGAGAAAATGTAATATCTTTCGTGTTCTAAGTAGAGAGGGAGAACTTGAAGAGTTCTACTCTTCTTCACCGAAAGGAAAGCCCAAATCCCATGGTATAATAGTTGAGTTTCACTTCTAGTTGAGGGGGAGTGTTCTCTTTTATTTTGAGGGATTTTTTTGGGAGGTTAGACCATGCTTTGAGTAGAAAAATCTGGGAGGATTTTTATCTATTACATTGGGTCTGATTCTTGTCGAAGTTGCTGGAGATTCGAAGCCAAAATCACATCCTGAAGAAATCACAGCAGTCTGCTGTGTCAACAAACTGCCAAGTGTTTGTTTGGTTCAAAAGTGATTCTAAGGAGAGTCAAAGGAGGAGGAGGTGACAAGTTGCCTACAACAACGTCCCATTTCATAGCACAACCAATGGAGGTTGAGGCCTTGCATGCTTGCCTTTGCGAAGGAAGATGCACTTGTATGTGGTAGAGAAATCAATACATTTAAGTTGGGTTTGTGGCTGTTGATTTGTGGAGTGTGTGTGAGGATTTTTTGTATCTAGTTCCTGCCTGTCTCATAGTGGGATTTTCCTAGGTTGGTACCCCCAAACGTAGGCCGGTTGAGGGCCGAACTGGGTCAACAAACTTCGGTGTGCTGTTTGTTTTAATTCACTCTGCACTGCACTTCTTGTTGCTTGTTTGTTGTTCGAATCTCAAGCAGACAACATCGTTCAAGAGTGATCAGAATTGGAGTTTAAGGTATAGAAATACATCTTGTGGGACCGTCAAATCTTATACTGCTCCACTGAGAGAAGAAATCTAAACCCATTTTTGAATCCACATTGTTTGAACAAAATACTTAACCCAGTTATACACTATTTGACAGGTAATACTTTTATTCCATGTGAAAAGTATCAGATAGAAACAAGCACCCAGAACATAATTTCTTACCACAGGAACTGCAGGATAGAGTCGAAGAGTTTCAGTCAGTGCTGCATGAAGGTAGTGCATCTTCTCCAGAGCTTCATCACTCAAAATGGTGAGGAAGTCTGAAACATTTGCTGTGTCCTTTGAGCCTGTTGCATCCATTATGTCCATGACCAATTTTTCCTGCACAACAGGATGCTTGCAAACCATGTAAATAAACCAGGACACTGCAGCCGCCGTTGTGTCTTTCCCAGCTATTATGAAGTTCAATATAATGTCTCGCAGATACTTTGGGTTAGGCTCAGTTTCAGTCAGTTGCAGAAACCTTGATAATATGTCCTCTTTTTTCAACTGAATCTAACAAAAAAGAAAAACACATACACAAATGCACAAAGGTTAAGGCATCGTTCAGAATTCACCAAAAAGAGGCTATGCATAGAAACCTACTGATGCATCTTCTGACTTCTGCAACTTCTCACTCTTGTTAGATATCAGCTTATACACAAACTCATCTATCACTTGTACACATTTTTTCAATTTTGCTTCTGAACCAATACCCAAAGCTTTCTTTATGCCCCACAGAATATCTACATATCTCCATAGTGTCATGGCACTTGCATCATCAAAGGCACTGCTAAATTTGGTGCCTTCTTCATTCGATCCACACATAGTGTCTAACTCCACTCCAAATGCAACTCTGAATATTGAATCTAAAGTCGCTTTCATAAGAAGGTCCTGCAATGATCATCCCGTTACCTGTTAAAGCAGAAGGGAAGAGTTTTGTTTGTTGGAGTCGGATATAAAACTCACTTGGATATCTATAGGCGTATCAGAATCTGCAGCTTCGGATATAATGTTAGTGAGCTTTGCAGCATTTTTTCTAAAGACCATACTGCTGAAATCCCTTAGTACCCTCGTGGAGAATTCATGGCTTGAGACTTTTCTCTGCTCCCTCCACTTGTCACCATCCACTGTAAAAATCCCATCACCCAATAAATCCTTGAGAATGTTGTGGTTGTACCATCCCTATCAGAACTTCTAGTTAGTAAACTTCAGGATTCTGTGGTTAAGTCTTATAACTGTGTAAACACAAACAATACACATTGCTCATTAGAAAATTTGTCAAAGTTGGAACACACTTCACCTATAAAATGTAAGGTCATTTTAAATAAGTAATAGGACATAAGTTAATTTTACACAGCCTAATAGAGTATCTTCGTTATAAATTCTTTTCAAATGTAGAATTATAGTCCAACACAATGTCACTAATTACAAGTAATTTTCACAAGTCCAAAATATTGTGATAGAAACTATTTATAGTTACTGCCAACATAATTTGCAACATTTGTCAAATTACAAATGACAGTAAGTAATTCAACCATTTTTATTATTAGTAAATTATAATCAATTCAATGAAAAATAAAGCTAACTCATGAAAGCATTAATATACTTCTTACAAAGGGGTTAAAATTCCTATAAAACTATTTTACTTTTGCTATTTCATCTTATCAATGAGATATGATAACTTACCCCATACTTTTCACTATACAAATTAATCAAAGACATCCATTAAAGTATTCAATCATATTCCTAAAGTAAACATGCTTGTAATGAACAAAGGCCTAACTGTATTGGATTCTTACAAACACTGGCCCTACTTTGTCATCGCCCTTTTTATAAAAAATGATCCTCCCTCATGTGAAGTGCCCATTATAAAATTTCTTAAACAACCTCTTCTGGTTGTACGTGGTTCAGTGCTGCATATAAAAACTAACTGATTATTCTTCATAACTTTAGCTCAGAACATAACATAATCAACTCGTTCATCACCATATCTGCAATGATTAGATCTGCAACAGTTATTTTTCCAGAAATCAGAATGATTTTTTAGATTCAATCTAGCAATAAGACAAACTATCTCCTAAAATCCACAAATTACCTGGAAAATTCTCGAAACAGGGGAAATCCGCACCTACCTTGCCATAATTTTCGAAGTTGGTTTTCAGCATATACTCAACGTTAGCCGGGTCGGAAGTGTAAACCTCGCTCCGGAATATGTTCAACAGTCTGTACGTCTTGTGTTTGGCCGCCAGATCGGTCATGTAATCGTGTAGTCGGCGGAAATTCCTGAGCTGGTGAAAGACGGTGCCGCCTATCGGATGGTACTTGCTGGTCCGCCGCTTCTGACGCAATTTTCCGGCGACAAGATAAATGGATACCACGGCAATGATTCCACAGAGGATCATTATCGCCAACGCCATGAGCAGCTATGAAAATTGTAGATGAGTTTTGGTCGCCGCCGTTCAGTTCTTCCAGTGGGGGACTCTCTTCTCGGCTAGTGCTATTCTCATCTCAACCTCCTTCCTTAGCGTAGATAGAGCCGTCTTATTTCGTACGTTTCTTGTTTTAGTAAGCCGTTTGAATTTGTCGTTTGAAGAAATTTATGTTCCACAAAATATCACCCAATAATAGCACCCTTTCCCTTGGCTTTATCAAAATGCTCCTATATATATATATATATATATATATACTTACTTTTTGAAGGTTGTTTATATAAAAAATGTTTTTGTATAAGAGTGACTTGGGTATTATTTATTCAAAATATATTAGTGTCTTTTACCCTTTTTGTGAGAGAGAATTATATATATATATAAATAAATAGTACCTTATATATAAATATTAAATATTATTTAATTTTTTCTGTTCGACAGGAAGTTTTTGAAAACACAGTGCACCCAGGTAAATAAGGGACGACTTTCTATGGTCATTTAAGCAGACCCAAACAATCTGGCTTCTTTCCGATACCGCTCTATAATCGATGCATCGGCGCCTTTCGAACCTTTTCTCATTAGAAAGGTGTTCTGACTCTATTGGATCAAGTCAACACCTACGCCGACTGATGCGGACGTCGTGAAAGAAGTAATGAAAGGCCGAACCGAATTAGCACTTCTCAGATCAGGCTAGGCCTCTCCAGCTGAGCTGGGCGATTCATTGGTAGAATGGAAAGAGTTAGGGGAAGAAGGGCTTACAGGGAATGAATGGGAAGATCGAAGGGTTGGAAGAAGAAAGGATTTTTTGGTTAGACGCGTCTGACGGTCACATTTATCTTTTGTATTATTGTATTTAATATTAAAAATGTTTTTATATTTGTATAATTTTTTTATTCAAATATCATTCAATTAATATTGTAAGACACCGACAAAAATAATTTTATAATTTTTTTCTTAATTTGTTACATTTTGATATACGCAAAAAGTAAATGAAATCTTTAGAGCCGGATAGAGATAGTATATTACTATAATACAAATATAATAATAACAATGATAATAGTCTTTTTTTATTAATTTTACTACATATAATATGCTAAAATAACATACTATATATTCTCATCGTCTCTAACTCCATGTAATTTCTTTTTTTTAAAAAATAAACTAAAATATAATATTTCCTCATTTTATTTTTTTCAAAGAATACATTTATTTTTGGACCAAAATTTTAAAAATTGTATAAAGACAATGTTACTTTACTTTTTAGTATAAAGGTAATAATGTGATGGTGAAGTAGAAGTTTTTGTAGAAAAAAATGTAGTTCATAGTTACTAGAAAAAAATGTACTTTGTAATTGGATAATTCAAAACAGAAATATGTATACTTTGTGAGCGAACGGAGAGAGTAAAATTTGTTTGGTTAGTGAATCTTGTAAGTATAAGAAAATGAATAATTTTTTTTTGGTAAAATTATAGGTATATTTTGTATTTGTATGCGAATTACTTTTCTTAAAATAAGAAATGAGTATTTTTTATTTGTACAAACGAAAATGACAAAAGAAATAGATTGATTGAAATGGAGAGGATAATATATAATTAACGATACTTGCTAATGATAAATTAACTGCATGTTATATAAACAACAACTATATATTGTGTATAAGATTAAACGGTGTCAACAAATAACTTTTTTCTAAAAAAAAAAATCATAGTTTTTACTTTTTTTTTAGAAAAACAAGTTTAGTAGTATTTATTTTTATTGAAACTCATGTCTAAATATTTGAATATAAAATTGAATATCATTTTATCTTTGTTTATACTACATGCATATATAATATTAATATTAACAATTTTATGTGGAAAAAAAAAAAAAAAAAAAAAAACTAATACCTACTTTGATATGAGCTACTTCATTGTACACCACTTGATAGACTTAAAGCACAAGTCCTGAAAAATTCACTCTTTGTGCTCTTGTTTCAATCTAACATTAAAATTCAATAAAAAACAAAAAAAACTTTCATTTAAATAAGTTTGTTCTTAATTCTATTTTTGTTCTTGCTTTATTTTTCTTAGTTTTTGTTCATCTAACTTATATGTATAATATGTATAATCATGGTCCATTTCGTCGCCTATAACAATATGGTCAGCTCCGCCATCTATCTTTAACGTTTGGTTGGTTCCACCACTTAGTTCTAATTATTGGATCGGCTCGCCTCCTAGTACTTAAAGTTTACTAAAAACATGGTTGGCATCACTGCCTCTAAGATCGAAGTCTTCACTAAAGTAAGTTAATTTTAGTTTAGTAGTTAATCATATCTTATGTGCTTTTTAATTAACCTGTTTGCATAAATATTGATAAAACTTAAGTTAACCTATAAAAATTGTTGGTAAGCCAAGCACAGGTGGTCCAGTAAAGTTTAACTGAGTTATTTTGTATATGTTAGCATAATTAATTATAAGATATATAAGATAGAATGATTGCTATTTTTTTAAAAAAAAAAAAAAAAAAAAACTATTTTCCAACTCCTCTAATACAAAAAATACGAGCGTTATTTGAAGCATGAAATCCTGCTCCTATTAATTATTCAAATTGGACTATTCTTTATCAAAATATTGAAACAATATATTCAATAGGTTCGTTTGATTTTAAAACAATATTTTCTATAAAAACTCATGAAGAAACTTAATCTATTCTCTCAAATTTGGAAGAAATAATATTTTTTTCTTATATCTATTATGAGGTTAATTACTAGACCTCTGTGTATACATAAGTCTGCAGCCTATTTTAGGACAACTATTTCTAAGCAAAAAGATCTCTGTGATTATGAGATTGATCCTAAATACATAAACCTAATAGTTATACCATACAACTGTACAGCATCAGAACGGATCAAGTGTTGAAATTGAATTTTCAATATTTGTGCTGAAGCACTTAAAAATTTAATTACATTAATTTAGTTTATTAAAAAATATAATTAATATAATTATATAAAATAATATGTAAGTGTTCAACATTGTGCTTAAAATTCAATTTCAACATTTGATCCAATCTAATACAGCATAGCAAATATAAAATTTCCTAAAATATACAAATACAATCACGATTTTGACACTCCCCTCAAGTTGGTAAATAGGTGTTTTCCATTCCCAACTTAGATATAATTTCTTCAAAGTTAATGTTGTTTAGCCCATTAGTGAGTACGTCTGTATGTTGATTATGAGTGGATACATATGGTGTGCAAATCATGCCATTGTCTAGTTTTTCCTTGATAAAGTGTCTGTCAACCTCAATATGTTTAATTTTATCATGCTGCACTGGGTGGGCTATACTAGTTATATATTTATTGTCACAATATAACCTCATAGGTCCATCCTACTTTATCTTCAAGTCTTCCAATATAATCTTCAGCCATAGAAGTTCACATATTTCGTGGGCCATTGCTCGAAATTTTGCTTCAGCACTTGATCTAGCTCTATACTCTAGTTTTACTCTTCCAAGTCACTAAGTTTCCACCAAGGAAGGTGCAATATCCAGAGTTTGATCTCCTATCTACTATTGACCCCGCATAGTCCGCATCCGTATATGCTTCAAGATTTACATTCTTGTTTCATTTGAACAAAATCCCTCTTCTTGAGGTCCCTTTCTAGTATTGGAAAATTCTAAGAGTAGCTTGTAATATGCTAATTTGGTTGGTGAATAAATTAGCTGACTAAACTTACAGCAAAAGCAATGCCTAGTCTAATATGAAATAAGTAAATAAGTCTGTCCACAAGTTTTTGATACATTTCCTTGTTCACAACAATATCTTCTTCCGCACTTTCTTACTTTATATTTGGGTCAACTAGAGTACTTACTGGTCTGCAGGTTGTGTTACCTATTCCCTTAAGCAATTCAGTAATATATTTTATTTGAGATATAAAGATTTCTTTCTTGGAATGAGCCACTTCAATTCCCAAAAGATATTTAAGTCTCTCTAGTGTTTTGATCTCGAATTTCGTGGTAAGACATTCACTTTACACTTGCTACTCATTTTTGCCATCCCCGCTTACTATAATATCATCTACATACATTAATAGAATTGTTACTCTCCTTGAAACTGAATGTTCAATAAATAATGTATGATCCATTTGGCTCTTTTTGTAGCCCATGCCTATCATAACTTTGGTAAATTTTCTAAACCATGCTGTTGGGATTTTTTCAGCCTATGTAGGGCCTTTCTTAACTTGCAAACAGTTCCTGCAGCAATCTTTCCATTGTAACCAAGGAGCAACTCTATGTATATTTATTCTTCAAGGTCTCCATATAAAAATGCATTCTTCACATCAAACTGCTACAAGTCCCAATCATGATTTGTTGTTAATGAAAATATTACCCTAACCATGTTCATCTTAGTAACTGGGAAAATGTCTCAAAGTAATCAATTCCATAGGTTTGAATGAAGCCTTTGTCCACTAACCTTGCCTTTTAACGTTCGATGGTCCCATCGGCCTTGTACTTTACTTCATATATCCACTTGCATCCTACCGGTTTTTTTCCAGGTGGTAGAGTGATAAGTTCCCAAATCCTATTTTTGTTTAACGTCTCCATTTCTAAATCCATGGCATGTTACCATTTCCTGTTAGGTGATGCTTCAGATACAAAGGAATGTGTGTGTATGGAGTTGAGGTTTTTGAGAAAGGTTTTATAGGTAGGTGAGAATTTTTCAAATGATAAGAAATTTGATAGTGGGTAAAATGATTGTTGGGTGCATGTTTTAGTTCCCCTTCTAAGGGCAATGGGTAGGTCTAGAGTTTGGTCCGGCTATGCTTTTAGATTTTGAGAAATAAACTAATTAGAATAATTGATTTTTATAGGATTTGAAGGTGTTACCTCATGCAATGATGATGGGTTAGATTCTTGGATACTACCACATTTTAGAATGGCCTTTTCTCTCATTGAATATACCATATTCTTCCCAAAATTTCCACCATTAGGTGTTGATTCAAGTGTAGATCTTGCTATTGGTTCAGATGCACGTCTTACTGTTGGTTCAAGTACAAGTCTTTCCTCAATTTCAAGAACAACAATGCCATTTGTCCTAATTTTAGGTCCAAATGTCATATTTGGAAGCATGAGTGTCTCATATTTCTCTTTTACTTTCTCCCATTGAAGATGAGGCTTCTCGAAGTAGCCT